AAACTTATTTTCGACGTGAATAAATCCGTTCAGTATCAGAGATAAAGAAAGGTTTTTCAAATGGTTTTAAGATTCCATTACACAAGTTTGGAGTGAAATTCAGAAATAAGAATTTGATTTAATATTGCTTGTATTGGTATTGTAACGTAATAACAAATGTTATTTTGAAAACAAAATGAAAAGAAAGACCATGATTAAATAAGAAAAGATTTCCTTATACTTCCTCATCTGCTACAAATAATTAGTTGCGAATTGGATATTGCGTAACATAATTAAAGCTTACAAGAGGTCCAGAATAAGAATGACAATTATATATCGGAAAATGACGAAGATCCGGAAATAATAGTGATCTCTAAATGAAAGAAAGAATACAGCAACAGCAAATTAATAACTAATAACGTATAAATATTTATTATTATAAAATTTTCAGCAATAAAACTACAAATAGATATTGTATGAAACAAATCAAACATTCAATTTCAAACCAAACTTTCATTCAAAATATAAACCCTGAATGAGAACTAGGACTCAAATTACAGCTAGTTGAGAAAACAAGTCATGAGATACGTCTTCGTTATACAAACGGTTGCGAATTTACAATATTGTTATACGACTTAACATGACGAATTATTATCTATGTGATTTTTAAATACATATTGGAAAAGGAATGAATGTTTTAATGTATTGAATGAAAGAGCACTAAGACTAAAAGGAAGGTTATTAAAATCTTTTACACGTTACTGAATAAAAAAGTATAATGAAATTTTCCTGCTCGCTGACGTTGACCCGGCAACTTTCATAGAAATTTCAAAGCTGCTAATCGGATTTTCATTGGAGCGATATCAAGAGTCATTGGAAATTTCCGGAGAGCAAGCTACGCAAGGAGCAAAACACTACCTTGTTATAGAGTGTAATAGCGATGTCAAACGTAGTTTAATTAACTATACATAATGATATGCGTATCCGTCAATCGAGTCAAGTAAATTTCATTTAAATTGACATTCGATTATTGAAGTCGACGAAGTACACGCTGCTTGCCCGTATCCAACAATTATTGACATATTATACAGAACAATAAACCGTAGGAAAAGAAACTGAAAAATTGCACGTAAACAATAGTTGTTATAGCTAATAGCTAAGGAAAGCAAAGTGTCTCAATAGATATGCAATTAGAGTAAAATAAGTGCTATCGAAGCACTATAGTATTATCGAGATGTTCTCGTTTGATATCGGAGTTCCACAAATAATTAGAACGACTACATTTGCAAATAATGAAGTACGTCATTAGCATTGTTGTATTAATTGGACTTTGTTATAACACTAAGGAAGTATGACGGGTGTATTTGATGAAAAATTGTTACACAACTTTTAATATTTTTGGATGAACACAGATAGATGAATGATAATTCATTGTTGTTCACTATAATTATTTTATGAATTCGCACAGTACAATTACTTATCAAAATAAAATTCTACATCATTGATCCTTATAACTATTTATATTTTACCGAATTACATAACTTTTATAAGGCGAACTAGATCATTAGACAGAATAGAATTTTGAACATCATTCTCTTATCAATTTACGATTAACTGTCTCTAGAGTATTGAAAGATAAAGCTTGACATTGTGTGCTTTGGGTCGACGAAATAATAATGGTACACGTGTATAAATAATAAGTATTGTGCGTGAATGATTAATCTAATGAAATGGCTCAGGTAGCATTAATGGAGCTATGTAGAAAAGGAAATAAGTATAAAAGCTGAAAATCAATAAGACAGACGTAAGGGAGAGAGAAAAGAAAAATGAGAACAGATAGGAGGGGAAAAACGGAAAACAATTTGACGCACGTACATTTGTAGAATAATAATACGCAGGACCTTTAGTGGAATGAGGAAATACAGGCAGACGTGGCATTTGTCGCGAGAATTCGTAAATATTGAAAGGACTGGGTAGGTTGGTTGTCGAAGAGGCGGACACGCGCGGAAACTCGAGGAAGGCAAACGTACGTAGGCATAAAATACATTTGGTTTCTCTTGAGCTATATACAAGATGCACACTTACTAGCTGGCCCGCTTCCAATTTTGCAAAAAGAGAGATAGAGAGAGAAAGAGAGCCGCGCGCGCCTCGCGAAGCTGCTTGATCACAAAGACATGCAATCGGAAAAGATATATGCAGCTTTATATAGTGCACAAGAGCGGCTAACGCGACAGCTTGTAATTTTTAAGTCCATGCCCTACCACTGCTGCTAACGCTTCCAAAATTAATCAAGTCTAGAGCACGTCATATGAGTCGCTGCCCCCGAATATGCGCTGCTTCTTTACACCTCGGAGGGAGATGCAAAACGGAAAAGGAGGCCAATGCATGCCAAGGCAGATAAAAGGGGAAAACGCTGCGCGACAAATATTAAATTATTTCGAAATTCTTGCTTCCACACGTTTCTTTTTCGTCCTTCTCGACATTTTAAAAGTATGCGCTACTTTCATGAACGTCGAATTGAAGAGCTCCGTGCTGGAACTAATCAGATTCCATTTCCACTTTTGGCCTTTTCACGCCAGTACTCTATTTTTGGTCAACGCTACGCTCATTAACATGCGTCTTTTGCTTCGCTTCTGATCAAGCGTTTTCTACGGACTTCAGCCGAAACGACACATTTATGAATCTACTTTATAAGTTGACACTCCAGACTAGACTAATGATACTTTTCGTCGTACTATTTGAAATTGTAAATAAACACATTTTTACAATTAACAATTTTTAGGCAGAACAAACGTTAAAAATATATAATAAATTATATGTTGATTTATTTGGATTATGCATAACTCAGTAAACAAGTTAAATTACTGAACTTTTTCTTGGTACAAAAGCAAATTTATTTTCGAACTTTATTCAACATTGAGATCTTGAATTTTTAACAATATTCGCTGAGCTAACCACTAGACAACAACTAATGTTAGCCACACGGAAGTCCTTAAAATACGTACAACGAGTTTTGATTAAACTACAGAGTTAGTTTCTCGAAACCTACCATAATATTGTCATTGACTGTAATTTAATGTACTACGTTTCAATCGTTATAAATGAAGTGCGGGTGAAACTTTTGGAATGCGAGCACAATGCATACAAAAGTCGTAACAAAAGTTTACTCATATTAAAACTTGGCCAAGACAAAAGAATCGTAATTATAAGTTTTTAATAGCATTTCCCCATCGTCTGTATGAGTAAGCGGTGAGACCACTCTTAGTGAACTTTAATTTATACACACGGTATTTCTAATTACTATAAATTTTAAGAATCATTGTTGTAGAAATAACTCCGGGAAGATTCAGTCATGGAAGTAGCCATCATGATTACGTTGATATTCGTAATAGAAGATTATGATGTCTAATAAAATTCTTTTCGATATACTAATAAGATTATTCTTTCATATTATGAAATACTGATGTCCCTGGTTGATTTACGACTAACTTTCAAACATTTTCGACCAAAAGAAAAAGTAATTACCGTAAGTTTCCTAGAGAGACTATAATTTGAGCATTAAATACACAGCAAACTAAGATTGACATAAAGTTTGAAAAGTATAAAGAAAGTCGAAACATTGTAAGCCGCTCGAATATTGCGATGGGCGTTCGTATAAGTACAGTTATCTATTGGAATAAAGCTATCTTGACAATATTAATTTTAGGACTCTCATTCTCTCCCGTCGGCCTCTTCTTACTCCTAGTTTATTAACAACTTTTCCACTTGTACGAATGCTTCACCAAGCAGAATCGAATGAGCATCAGGGATGCAATAAATTTCAAAGAATGTGAATTTATAGCTTTGAAAAAATAATAGATTTAACCAGATTACTGGCAGTCAAACATTTCAAATTCATCTTTCGAAAACGATTTAAGACTTGAAATTTCTTATTAATTACCCGAATAGACGAAGCTTTGTCTCATTTATTACGTGTGAAAAGCAAGCAATAATAACGATTCTATGATAGAAACGAAATTGATTTTAGAGTGCGTATGGTTTACGTGTAAAGTTGATTGGAAGCAAGCGACGCGTCTATGTATCATCAGTTAAGGATAATCTTGGCCATCCGGGAGAAGAAAAAAATGAATAGCTGGAATGTTGAATAGTTGATAGGAGATAGCGGGCGACAGGGCGGGTAGTAGATTTCCGTGTAGCACGGAGACTAGTTCGAATACAAAATTGACGACATTGTACGACTGCGGAGTCACCAAATGTAACGCTCCTCGTACTCTCGTGCTTTTCTCTCCTCCAGGTGGCCAAAACCGACAATTCACTGCGCATACGATTCACCTGGTACCTCCTTTTCCTCTGCAACTCTTCGATGTGTCTCATTTTACATTTTCTTTTTTACGCTTATTTATTTTCTATTTTTCAAATTATCCAAACGTGGTAGCCTCGCAACCGAAAATCAAGACTTAGGCGAATCCTGTCATTGTTTTATGGCTCTAACGTCTTGAGTTTTTCAATAATATAAATTAAACAAACTTAGAGGACATTCGTTACACACTCGCAAAATGAAAATGATAAATTTGACATAGCACACAGGTGAAAGTCGAATATTTAATTAAGATCAAAAGCAATAAAGCAAGAGAGCTGTGAGGGAGTATGCTGCCGCATCACTTCGAGTTTAATTTAGTCAACGGCTGTTCAATTTACGACGTCAAAGTCGTACTCGACAGCGTTAATTGGAATCTTCAATTTGAATCGCTGGTACGCATAACGATTGGCTGCTGCGGCCTGCGTCCTATCAATTATTGTATGACCTTTCATACATTAATAATAAATAATCAAAGTAATAAAAAGCAATTACAAATGTAATTGAAACATAACAAAGACTAGTCATATGAAGGGCGTAGTCTTGAAATAGAACATAATTTGATTGAGTTATTCATGAGCGCGACATATAAATGAGGCTATACGAGAGCGATCAACGTGACGGCAAACTGAATTAAGAGAAAACCTATTTTTGACTGTTTCAGCTTTGTAAGCGTCCACGAGAGAGAGAGAGAGAGAGATAGAGAGAGAAGACCGTGACCACAGGACAGCGACAGTCCATTAACGACCAATTGGAGGCTTGCGAGAACGCGTTTTTGACTGAGCTAGCAGGTGTCAACAAATAAACCAGTTGCTGCTACTGCTGTTACTATTGCTCTAGTCATTCTGGCAAAAATATGTCAGTACTGGGCCGACAAGCGGCCCTGAAACGGATCAGTCGCCACAGATTTACCAAACGCAATGATTACCAATCACCGGTCAAGCCGCACCGAGAGCCTAACGACAGCAACCAGTTTTTTCCAGCGGCATGCTGTACGTCATCTAGCCGGCAGATCAGCTATTCTATACTTGTGATAGGCCCGCGTCTCTTGGCAATCTACTAACTCGCAAAACAAACATCTCGCCTGACCACGATAAGTACGTTGGAAGAGCTTGGGAACAGCATACCACAAGTGTCACCCGTCCTAGTTAAACTTTGGTTAGGTTCCCTTTGATTTTTTACCAATTTTTTTTCCAACTTCATCACTTATTAGTGTCTCCAAGTTTTGTTGAAAATTGAAAAGTTTCCGCAATCGTGTTTTTCTTTTCGTCTCAACAGCTGCTGATCTTTGAAGTTTTTCTTTTCTTTTCTTATTTCAAAGTACCTAATTACATAGCAATTTCTGTCGTTGAGCCTGAATTCCTCGAATCAATGAAATAGAAATTCCATTATTAGCGTTAAGAGTCTTCGGAACACAGAGTCGATTCGAAGACAAACTTTTTAAGAATTATTACCTATGAAAGTACACGATTTTTATGTTAAAATACCAAGAGAGCGTCACATTGCAAGCACAGATTATCAGAAGCTTAAAACAGTTTAATACGCGCATTGGAGCTGAACCTAAACTTAAATATGCCCACATAGAGTTTACCCGCAGTAGTTGAAATTGTTCTTACAGTATTTGTTTACAATATTAAACGTATAAGCTAGGTGGACTCAATATGATGCACTGTGCGTAAACTGCTCTAGCATTTAATTCAAAATCTATTTTTTAACGTACGACAGATTTTAATATTTTAAATTTTAGAGCTTATGAAAGCAACCTCATGGTATCCAGTTCGAGTTATTCTACTTTAAATTAACCTTCCCCCTTTTTTCAAGCGAATATATGGTGTTTAAGTAAAACGGTGACATAACAATTTACAGAAAAAGAGAAAAGGCCAACGAGAACGAAATTAAAAAGAACAAGGATCACAAGTGGAAAGGACGGAGTCAACGAAAAGCGGAGAAGGCGAGCATCGCCCGAAGCCAACTATTATGCAAAACAATCGGAGCCTGTTGGACGAGGGCGCAAACCCTCTGAAGGACCTGACACACGCGAATCTGAGCGAGCCACTAAAGCAGCACAATGCCAATGCCGTTAAGCTCGTGCAAACCGGTAAACAATTTACCATAACTATATCTTTATGTCCTACATTTACCATCTTGACGATAGATACGTAGAGTTAACAACTTTGTTGCTCTCTCGTCATCTTCTAGTCATTCTCACCTTTGTTAATTTCCCGATTTTTTCACTTTTACGTTATTGAACTACTCCCAGTTTTGAATAATTTACAATGAAATAAATCGAAATCTTCACTTAGGTTTGGAAGTTTATTTTCTTTATTATGCAATTCGGAAAGCAAAGACCACGTGGAATAAAGCATTATTGGTATCTGTGAGGGGAATTGAGCAATTGAAAAGAAAGCATTTATGCGAAAATAGGAAGAAATTCAAGTTAAATCAACTTAGTTCGTATTAAAAAAGGAGCCACTCGAGTCGCTCGGCACTTACGAATTTGCTCGTAGAATAATTACCACCATTATTTCGTGTAAGGTGAACGGCAATGAGCTCGCTGTTACGAGAAAATTATTTAAATATACGGAGCTGGAAGCGTGTTGGCTGTTAACGAGCGGATCTTTTTCACAACCACTCAATCTGGATGGTTTTGACTCGGCGAGCAAGATAAGGAGCTATAGCGTATGGCTATTCGTCAGGTGTCCGTAAATGGCTCTCAGCGCGAACCTTATAAATCGAGCTCTCTCGCCGACGACGACTCTTGGTCGCTGAATAATTACAGCTTTATATAGTGATGGTCCTCGTAGCTCGCGCTTAGTTATACAAGCTTCTGGGCAACGGCGGCAGAGAAGGCTTAAGCAGAACGAAAGCCTAATTATTGCGACTCACAGGCTACATCAGAAATCTGCGGCCAGCAGTTGGTTCTACGATTTATGGGCTTGTAGCGGCGCACATCTGCATTATGACGATATGTCTCGTGACAAGCGCAATTGATGTCGCCGTCGTTGCCGCTGCTGCCGCACGCCTGTAATTCGCCTATCCGATGGGCTTTTACCACTTGAATAACGTTATTCGCAATAGCTGTGCTCGCGCGTTCGAGTTACAATGGCGACGCTCTTTGTTAACGAAAGGCACTAGCTGCTCGATTTCTTTGTGCGAGTGCACGAGTCGCGCTTAGCTTCAATCATCTCCGACATTGAAAAAGACATCGTCAAGAATTTTCTTTGCGGTCGTGGGCGCAGGGCAAACTTTCTCGACTACGCGTACATGAGGAGCTTTCTTCGTGCTCTGAAAAAGACAGCCGGCAACGACAAAAGAATACACGATCACCGCGCATTCCATGTATACGACGAGGCCTCCCAATAATAATAGCAAGCTAAAGCGCCAAAACGAACTCTGGCTGTGGCAGCTATAAAAAGAAACGCGTACCACAGTACCGTTCGAGCACGAAGGGCCAAAACAAACTTTAGCCCTGCGCCCGAGCGATGGAAGCGCAAAAGAAAGCTAAACTTTGTCGTGGCGGCGTCGGTAGTGGTCGATCGAGCGCTATAATACGACTTATAGCGAGTCTATTATTTCCCGACCAAGTTGGCACATTCTACACGCGCACGCACATGTACACACACACACACACACACACACACACAGAGCTGAGAAGAGAAAATAAAACTACAGCGAAAGAGAGAGAGAGAGAGACAAAGATAACGGCAAAGTTTATACTAACACGGCCACTCGCACTATATTCCGCTTGTCGTCCGTTAAAAATTTTCAGCGATGATCTTCCAGCTGCTGTGATCGTACCTATATCTAGATCTAGCTGTACAACAACAACATTATCAATGTCAGAACTCTGATTAATGGTTGCGCAACACCAATTAACGCCTGTTAATGAGAATCCATCCGCTAATATTTCACGCGCTAATTGAATAATGCGCGCTTTTTAATCCAGTCGATGTTTCCCACCTGCAAGTAGTTCAGTTTGATCCGTTCCAGCATTAAACAGCTTGATCAGTGCACCCACTGCCGTAATTGAAAATTTGCTAGGGTCTATAGCGGATTCATCTTTCAGTAGTACAGATACGTATACAGTCGGCCAATAATGAAACTTGCTGCTTCAGTTTCGGTTAGCGGTTTCTATAAATGTAATTAACTATGTTAGCACAACTTGCTTCAATACTCTAATCTAGATTTACTATCATCCACTTAACGATAAAGACAATTATTATTAGCAATCCGCATTAGCTCTCTATATTATAATATTATTCGCAAAGATCCTGAAATAAATAATAAAGCTTTGATTTGTTGCATTCGTGAAGATGAAAATGGAAACCATACGTTATCTACATTTTTTTATTTAAATTTGAACTATAGATTCGAGTTCGATCAACAAAGTTTCGTATATGCATGTTTTAAAACGGACTTGTGCTATTTGACAGACGTATTATTTATTACTATTTTTTTGCTAATTATTGTTTTCAAGGTCAATTTGTAAAATACCTCTCAAATAGTTTGCAAGCTATCTATGAATGATATCGTGCCAGTAAATAACCTAAAACTAAACGAAATCGCAGAATAGCTAGCTCGACGGAAAAAAAATAAAGTGCAGTCAGAAAGTCCGCAAGACTGTAATTTGCTTGGTAGAATGCTAAATTATGAACGATATTACGTATAAAACCGGTATGAGAATGTCGAGGGTGCAGTTCGATTTGTCAAGCGACCAATCGGCCGTACGACCAAAGCCGAGTGGCTTTTCGATTTAAAATTCATGATCCTGTCTTGACTGTTGCCGATTGGCGAGTTACTCAGCGACTTTTGAATTATTCGCAGCCGGTATTAATGATCAGCCCTATAGCTTGGCGAACATCTACGTCGCCCACGCGCACCTCTCACTGGCAAATTGCATTAGTTCGTTTCGAGCGCAAGCGACCCAACTACAATTACTGTAATTTAAAGTTACCCCGTGCCCCGTCGAATAATTGGCTTGTCTTCCTCTCCATTCGGAGATCCATTTTAATTTTTTTCTTTTACCGCCGCGCCGAGAAAACTCATTTTGTCTTCGATTTTAGCAAAATCAGAGAACTTTGACGTAGGAAATACTCATTCAAAAGTAATAACCGAGCTGCTTAAACTTAAGTTGAATCCGCTGGAAATGCAAATGTCAATAGCTACGTGACTGTTGAAATAACTGCAATAAAAAGTGAATTGAAAATAAGCTGACTGGTAAGTTTGTGGTACATAAGGAAAGTTAAAAGTAGCTCGTGTCGTAAACTTGTGCACTACTGCAGCTCTAAACTTACACGTGTTTTGCACTCGGGAAGAGAACAAGCTACAAAATCTATTCCCCGACATTCTGTCGTGCGCGCGCCTACTGGACATAATCTTGAGTATCTGTAGATTCTGAAAGTCGGAGTATCAAGGAGACGAGCATCTTCCGAGTGGTGAATTTCGGTACCGAGAATTTCTGTACCATTTGTCTCTCTTTGTCCGACAATCTGAGAAATAATTTGGTACTTTAGGCAAGACTTTTAACGGTACCTTGATGTATAGCGCCAATGCGTATCACGCTGTAAGGAAGTATAAGTTCACTGCTCGTGTTTTAGTGCAAACACGCGTCGCACGAAAAGGCGCTTCCAGCGCTACTTTTACGGCTACGATAAATTTCATCTGCACGAACTAACTGCTCTATTACACCGACATTCACTTATTCGCCTTGAACAATCATATGTACGGAGCTTGAAACTTATCGCTTCGTGACCATATACTCAAGATGCTGCTACTGCTCTTACTCTATCGCAAATTGCTCCGCCGGTACGCCGATTAATATATTATCCAACGCAGTTACTGCTGGAAAATAATTCGATTGTTTGAAGAGCGAAATCGTATTTGACGTAAAGCCCGCGAGTTATGCATGGTGAAATTTTATGATCGACGCCGTTTTGCGAGCTTTAAACAAAGTTTTAAAGTGTAATAAAGCAAGTTTATCTTCGAGTTATGTACAGTTCCTTGCGAACGTTGATCGATGAAAAATCTCCTAAATAGATCGGAGCTTTCTTTGTAAAGTCTACTACATTAGGCTTAACTGGCAAGTCGAACAATCTTTTCTTCAACCTTTTTATTGACGAGGTAATAAACGACGCGGATCAATGAATACACCACTAAAGCCATAGAAGCATTACCGACAACTTTGCGAAACGAGGTCGAGAATAGATTCTGAGGACACAAACATGTCCGTACGTAGATCACGTCAGGGAAAGATATAATCGATACTTTAAATTTATCAAGTTCTGATCGTCGTCAAAAAGCGTGCAAACGTCTGAACGTGAACGGAATTGAAAGTAGCGTGGTGGAAGGGAGGACCAGCGGATAGTGAGATAGCTGGCAAGACGAAGAGCATGCAGTGTAGTGAAGTTTAAGGATGCTTGGCAAATTGGACGTCGAACAAACGGCAATGAATCACGAGAATCAGCGGGCAGCAGTGCAAAGCCAAGTTTACCCGGGAGCTCGGCTAAGCTTGAGGTGAGCCGGTTGGGTTTGAGTGAAAATAAACTCGAGCCACCTGCGCAAAATACTGCAAGTATAGCACGGCACGGGATATGCGAACGAAACGCAAGAGGCAGGTAGGAAGGAAGGAAGGAAGGAAGGAAAGCAGGCAGGCGCGTGGCTTTTGGTACAGTCCCTTGCTGGCCCAGAGCGAGCGGAGATTGATCAGTAAAGCCAGAACCGGTCTGGCATCAGAGCATTTCATAAACCATTCGTTATCGCTTGGCTAATGTCAGTAGCCTATATCGCTCACACGCGCGATATCTCTGACTCGAGAAACATTACAGCGCCAGTTACCGGACTAGCCGCACATATCTACTTTTTTCAACGCAACAAGTTTCGCACTTACATCACCTTCGCTTATAGTTAATTCCCTTCCAAGGCTACTTGTTTCTTATTGTTTGCAATCTGCCTTTCGATCTAACTATATTGAACGATATAGGCCTTTTTATCTACCTTAACTTTTATATCGTAAAGTTGGCACTTGTTGCTGATCTGCTTTTCTTTATATATATATATATATATATATATATATATATATATATATATATATATATATAT